ATTCTGGGAGTTGTAGTCCATGAGTGATAAAACAACCAAGGTTGCCTACCCCTGGCCTAGAACATAGTTTACTTTCTTGAATACTTTGCCTGAATGCATGGGTATATGATCACAATTTGTAACCTTCTCAGTTGGCTTCCGACAAGCAAAGTCAATGAATGGGGGAAGCCAGACTCACTTAACAATTTTACAATTCACTTAACAACTTCAGTGGTTTGCTTAACAACTATGGCAAAAAAAGTTGTCAAATGGAAAACAACTCACTTAACAATTGTCTTGCTTAGCCATGGAAATTTTGGGTTCAATTGTGGTGATAAAATTGAGGACTACCTGTACTTGTTTGTAAGGGTTGTGATATGTCTAGAGCAGGGCTCTTCAAACTTGGCCCTTTTATGACTTGTGGACTTCAACTCCCAGAATTCCTTAGCCAGCGTGCCTGGTTGAGGAATTCTGGGAGTTGAAGTCCACAAGTCATAAAAGGGCCAAGTTTGAAGACCCTTGGTCTAGAGCAGTGGTTCTCAACCTGTGGGTCGGGACCCCATTTGGGGTCGAATGACCATTTCACGGGGGTCACCAAACCATGCTGTCCGCCATTTTTTCCCCTTTTCCCTAGCTGTCCTACTCCCTCTTATTGGTGGCCACACCCACTTGGGGGTCACCACAACATGGGGAACTGTATTATGGGGTCACGGCATTAGAAAGGTTGAGAATCACTGGTCTAGAGGTTCAAATTAAATAATCTCTCTCCATGTTGTCTTCCTTAACATTTTCCTTATTTTTCAGACGTTTCCTACATTTTTTCCCCTTCCTTTCAAGGCTGTCTGTAGTTCATCTCACTTTTTTTAGCCCACATTGCTTCTTGATTTAGATAATTCATTCATCTATCTTTTTTCCACTTTCAACCTCATATTGTCAGCTATTTTTGTTCTTTCTCCTCTCTCACATCTCTGGCTGACACTTCTAAATGTTTTAGTTAGGTTTAAAAATATAAGCATTTCTGATATTGGCCATGACTTAGCCCAAATTAAACACCTTTAAGGATGATTGCTTAATGTTTTCCATTTGAAATCAATCGCCCCATTTGAAATTACAGCATGTAGACCAGGAGTCCCCAATTTCCGGTCCTTGGACCAATACTGGGCCACAGCATGCCAGCAACTGGTCCGCAGAAACAAGCAAAGCCCCATCCGCAGGATACAGGCAGCATACAAAACCATGCCCCCTCCAGTCCGTGGGAAAACTTCTCTCCATGGAACTGGTCCCTGGTGCCCAAAAGATTGGGGACCTCTGATGTAGACTATAGCCCGGTCAAAAGGATTTGATCTAATCTCCAAAGCCTGTGTAGCTTAGTAACTGTGACATTATTCTATGCTTGTAATGAACTTCCTGGTAAGGGTAATGTGACCATAAGTGTGTAGGATGCACTTTGTTTCATCTTCAGTTATCTAAGACAAACATATAAATCATCAAAACTATACATTGTTAAAACACTTGAGATATTTCTTGCCAAACAAGGAAGGACAAGGAAAAATCAAAGCTCCAGTCTTTTATTACTTGACTAATTTTTAATGCCCACATACATGCACAAATGCTTTGATTTAAGCATTTAAAAAGTGGACTCTGATGGGTTTTATTGGTGGGAGAAATCTTTAAACACTAATGGGATTATTTCTAGGTACCATAGTTGTGTGCATCACTTTCAAATATGTCAATCTTGTTTTGTTTATGCCTTTGTTCATTCTTCTCATTTTTGTAAATATACAACCTAACGTTAGGCAAAGGGAATCAAGTGATGGTTTCTGGACTTCTACCACTTCAAACCAGTAATTTCCCACAGTGTTTGTCTGCCACTGGGCTGCTTTTGGATAGCCACTTTATCACACACATCTTTTCTGAGCATCTGGGTCTGACTGTAGAAGACATAAAAAGTTGGAATGGAGTGAATGGTTATCTGTTGTATTTCTATTTAATTTTAAGGTTCCTGTTCTCCATTAAAGTCTCTGATCCAACTGAGTTCCACTAAAACCAAGGAAACAAATAAAGTATTTACAAAATATTCATTTTACAACTCTTTACTGATGTTTCAGTGTTGTCATTCTGCTTGGAGTCATGGGATTCCAACTTTGTCCATTGTCTACCTTTCTCCAATTTAAAGGTCAGAATCAACCTGGAAATAAATGGGTCTGGAAACAGACTGATAATCGTAACTATATGGCTCATCAGTTTTTTTCCAATTAGCAGCTTAGTGGGTGCATTTAAAAGCATTTGAATTTTCTAAACTGCCTTAAAAGAATCCCAATGGACAGCACATTATTGTTATTTAGTCTGGAACTAACTTAGGCCTCCTTTTCTAGAAAAAGAAGAGAACCACCTGCATAACAAACTAACCCAGGAAAAACCTCTTTCCAGATACTTCTTCCATCCAGCAATCCAACAACAACCCTGACTGAAGCAGGATGAATAACTACTGTACTTCCTTCTGAATTAAACTGCCATTTATCCTCCCTTTCATCCGAATCACAAGACTCACTTTCACATCCTTTCTGATGGAGATGAGACAATTATGTGCCATCCAGGATGTTCTGAATAGTGCTCTAATTCCAGTCTCCTAATGACTTCCTCCCACATCATGTAGATATTAACTAATATGAGAGACAAGACAGATCCAGAGTTCAGCAGGTAGATGAACCATTTCTTAGCATCTAGAAATGCGAAAACACCAAATCCTGATGTAACCATGATATTGTAGAATAATAAGTGACGGTTCTGAAGCTGCCAATAATTCAACGACAGGTAGCAGCTGTCAATACAATGATTCCTGTGGGGACCATCCATCCTGTTTGTTAGTTAGGCAGCCCGATCTCCCAAACAGGCATCTTATATCTAATTACCAGAGCGTTGGAGGGAAAAAAAGCATCCCTGAAACCAAATTAATTTCATTTTTAAATGAAATTAATTAAATGGAAGAGTAGACTATACAAATTTCACTATTATAAGGAGGCAGCTTCAACATAACTAAAGAGTTTACATGTGCATCTGATATATCTGATGCTGGGTTAAGACATAGAACGGTTGTAAATATTATAAGATATCCTTTAGTAATAACACTTTTTCCCAATTACCTTCTTGGGGAATTGTGACCACTTGAGAACTTTTGTTTTGGAATAAGGCAATTATAGATAATCAGTGGAGCAGCAGTGCAGCTAATTTGTAAGTAACCTGTTAAAATGCAACTTTCAGGAGCTGGGCGTGAAGGTGTGCTGTTTGGCTGTGTGCTGTGCATTTTTATTTCCTTGCTGAATGCTACCCAGTGTCCTAGGGGGGTGGGGTGCATTATAACATTATAAAATAAATAATACACAATTATTTTACAGCATTTCCAAAACACTAGGCACAGTACAAAAGACTATTTCCACGTAATCTTAAATAACTGAAAGAAGCTTGCAAAATATCCAATCATCCTATTGGCGATTATGCTTAACAAAAAGCAATGAAAAAACAATAAGTTGTTATACTGACCACCACTACTGCAAATAACCTTAGAAGCTTATCAAAATTTCTCCAATCAGTTCAATGACTTTGGCATGACTTTGCTGACATGTAAGTTGCTAATCATTATGTTTTTTTAAGGGTACATCAAGTGACGATGTGCTAGGTAGATACTCAGTTCAGCAGGCGAACAATCAAACTCAATTGAAATTGCCAGAACTTCACATAAACTTATTGTGTGCACTAAGCTATATGTGACTCAGGTATTCTACTGCTGACTAGGTAATAGAATGACAATTTGGAAAACATTCAATGTCCTTCTAAATAGCTCAAGGATTTCTGTTGACCAAATTACTAGTCTAGGATGAATGTAATAAACGATGGAAATTAGCTGGTGTAACCATGTACATTATCCACAAATAAACTTCTTTTCTCAACTTCAGTCTACAGTTGAGATGGCTAGTTCATTCCTAGTGACCTAATGTAAAGAAAGGAATTAGCTTCCCTGGGTTCTCACCTTCTCTCATATTTTTGGCTTGGAATTAAAGACCAATGAATCCAGGATTTATGTGTGTTCAAAAGATAGGGCAGATAGGTAATTTCACAGTGCAATTAATTGTTCAAGGTAAGACCGCTAAATTGTCAGAATTATATTAACCTTCCAGAGCTAGAGAAATTTCAAATAACAAGGACAAACACTCCTGACTTTTCACCCAGAAGTCTAGGAATAACTTCCTCAGATTTTCCATTAGGGGTGTATAAAATAATCCAGAAAAGTGTTCACCGTTAATAGGATTAATAACATGATCAGAAGAAGTCAACTAAGGTCAGTGGCTCTGTAGCTCAACCAAAACAATACTAATTGGATTAGCAAATCTATCTTTCTACTGCACAGTGGGAGTAAAAAGAAGCCAGATTTTAGATACTTTTCCACTCTATGTGTTTATATACTGTATGTGAAAGCTGCATTAATGTGCTTTTGTTTATCACATCACTCCAACAAAGTTCTTCTATTTCGGAGCGGGTTTAGTTCTATCCTTTGTTTCTCTTTAAACCTAACTTATTTATTTTGGCAGAAAATATTTACATGTTATTTATTTGCAGGTTTTTTTTTTTTTAAACTATGACATTCTTTCCTTTTTTGAAATGACTTTTTTTTTGTTCTATTAAGAATGCTTCTCCAGTTCTTAATCAACGCTGGTGATACTGATTATTAGAGCTGTACAGTGCATAGAATTTGAAGGCAAAAAAGACAGTCAGCAAGACAAATACAGGATTTATCAGCAACTATTTAAACAAAAATCCTTTTTTCAGAGATTGCATGGCAGTTGAGAAGAGCAGGTAATAAATTCATGTCTCTACATGCTCTAAAACATCTTTTTACCTTGGATCAAGTTTCTTGACCTTACCGGCTACAGGCAGATGAACTTTTCTAGTATTTTTGTGGCATGTTATTTCCTTGTTTCAAGAATATAAATCAATGCTTTTGTCTACTATCACATGGATATTCCTGTTGGGGTGGCTGGATTCTAGAGTTTTACTGACATAGACCCAAGAGGCTGGAGAGTTACAGCAATTTTCAGGATGAACAGGTTGCTGATATGTTCCACTTGTGACAACTACCACGGTGAGCATGTTTCATTTTTTTTTTTACAGTTCCTTATAATTACAGCAGGCTCCTACACCACAGTATAATTTCTCATGGACACCATTATTTGCACTGACAAATTAGAAATCTGAATAATGATGGCTTTCATGGGCTATATGCATTTACAAGTCCATTCTCCCAGCAATGTACTATATTGCAGTACTGTATTGCCCTGGAGTTTTTTTTAGCTCAAATGTGTAGAGAATGGTTAATTTCATACTGAGCAAATTGTAGCTCAATGGTATATTACATGCTTTCCCTGCAGAAGACTCTCAAGTCAATTGCTGAATATATTGAATTAAAAGGATCAGGACAAAGGTGATTAGAAAGATCATGACAAAGCCTCTGTCTGAGAGCATGAAAGGCATTTTTCCAGTCAATGCTTCAAATTATTCAAGAAGGCACCACAGTAGCAAAAGCTAACCTATACTAAAAGAGAAATAAATTCAGCTCAAGTGCTGAATGTTGGCTGTCAAACAATCTTAAAACAGCTCTTATCCAACTGATATTTGTATGAGAGCTGAGGAAAGTTTTAACTTTAACAGCTACTATTGAAAACATTTGTTATAAAAGATAACTCTTTGCCTTGGTAATCAGCAAATATGGTCTCAAGCACATAACTTGAGCAACCAGCTGGTTTTCTAAATAGTTCAGGTGGTTTAGGTGGTAGCTGTATAGTTGGTTGGATGGTTACAAATAGAGTTTGAACAGGTAGAGTTGGTTTTCAATATTTGTTCAGACAATTCCTTACAGAGCAAATGAAGCAGTTGTGAGAGGAAAATTGGACAAACGTTGATACATCATTGGTGATGATGAAAACTATTTTTGTATGTTTTATAAAAAGAGGAAAAAAACAATTGCAGCAAACAAATATAACTAGTCTGTATCTTAAAATGGAAATTCCATTCATACACAATCTCATCCCAATACATACATCTCTAAACCTGATCTAAATCCCCAAAGTGAAAAGTAGTCTGCCATATATCACCGTAAAAACTTAATTCTCTGTTGTTTGTTCCAAACTTGGCTTGGGAGTATGACCAGACACAGTGCTTATCTTGTTAGCAGCTCATGAAATTAATTGTCTTGTCTTCTAGAGAAACCAATAAAACAAAGTTCACCTTGCTGCCAGTTCTTTTGAGTCCCTTCTGTAAACACAAGCACAGCATTTGCTCCCAACAATAAGCAAGGTTATATATAGTAGTTGTTCACTTTGAGATTGCAAGTTCCTTTGAAGGAAAATGAAGGAACAAAATTTAATTCCATAGAGAAAAGATGACAAGTTACTTTGTGCTCTTCAGCATCAAGTTCTTCAGGAGTCTCTAGCAGCCAATTTCATAATTCTGTCTGTCCTTTGGAAGAATGAAAATTCTATCAATACGAGTCCTTCGGTAATTTGTCACAATGAATGGCGTTTAGTTTCTTCCCAAAGCTCCAGTCTCTTTGTAGTGAGCAGCTGGGCCACTCCACTTAAAAGCATCAGGAAAATAGTGAAGGACATCACAATGACATAATGGCTTATACTGCAATGAAGAGAAAATGATGCATTAGAACGAAGCAGTTTATAAATAAAGTAATCTAAAGGAACTAGGTTTACTGGTAAAACTATACACATTGTTAATTGTTCCACTGTCAGGAATTTTTTCCTTAATTCTATGTTAGTTGTCTCCTTGATTAATTTCCATCCATTGCTTCTTGTTCTGCCTTCTGGTGCTTTGGTAGATGGGCTGGCTCCCTCTTCTTTCTCCCTCAAATATTGGAACACTGCTATCACGCCACCCCTAATCCTTCTTTTCACTAGACTAGTTATACCCAATTCCTGTAACGGTTCTTCATATGTTTTAGCCTCCAGCTCATTAATTGTCTTTGTTACTCTTCTCTGCACCCTTTCCAGAGTCTCACCATCTTTTTCTATATCGGGGCGACCAAAATTGGATGCAATATTCCAGTGTGGCATTATAAAGTGTTACTCACGTTTCACGTAAAATCTTGATTCTATCCCTCTGTTAATGCAGCCTAGGATTGCATTGACTTTTGGGGTGGCTGCAGCACACTGTTGCCTCATACTATATTTATGTGATTGTCCAAGATTCCTCTTGCAGTTACTGCTATTGAGCCAAGTTTCACCTATTCTGAACCTGTACATTTGTTTTTTCTTGTCTAAGTATAAAACCTTTTTCTCACCACTGACTTTTTTTTTTAATTGAAAATTTTTAAATTTTACAAAACAATACGGTTCCCTTCCCCAAACCACCCCAACCCTCCCATGCCCTCCCCCGACCTTCCCTGAGCTGAATACAGGCTTAGTTAATATTTTTTCAAAAAGTCTTAAAACAAATATAAACCATAAACAAATCTAAATACATTAATTAAAGAAATTGTAAACTAGTTAACAATAATATATGTATAAAAAAAACAAAAATACAAGGAAATACGAGAAAATAGGAAGAAAGAAAAAGGAAAAAAGTCTATAAAATATCTTAAATTTTAAGTATAAGTTATTGAAAAGCTAAATAATATTTTTTTATATCCAACTTATATTGTATAAAGTCTATCCATTTTTTCCATACCAAAAAATACTTCTCTTGCGATTGGTCTTTCAAGAAAGCCGAAATCTTTGCCATTTCCGCCAAATAAGAAACTTTAAAAAACCACTCTTGCAAGGTAGGCAAAGATTCCTTCTTCCAACATTGCCCTACTAACAACCTTGCCGCTGTGATTAAATTTAACATCAATATAGTCTCTTTAGTATCACAATCAGAAACAATACCTAACAAAAACAGTTGTGGAGTAAATTTTACCCTTCTTCTAAAAATTCTTTGAATATTCCACCATATCTTAATCCAAAAAGCTTTTATATTTTTACATGACCACCAGATATGATAATAAGTAGCATCCAAACATCCACATCTCCAACATTTAGGCTGTAAGTCTCTCACCACTGACTTTTGTTAGATAGGGCCCAATGTTCAAGTCTGTCAAGATCCTTCTGGATCTTGAACCTATATTCTGGAGTGTTGGTTATTCCTGCCAGCTTGGTGTCATCTGTAAATTTGATGAGTTCTCTTCTATTCTCTCATCTAAATCATTTATGAAGATATTGAAGAGTACTAGGCCTAAGACAGAACTTTGGGTATCTTGCTACTTCCTTCCATCTAGACATAGTTTCATTAAGGACTACATCTGAGTGTGGTTTGTCAGTTAGTTACAAATCCATCTGGTGGTGGTGATGCTGTCTATCACACATTTTTCTAACTTACTAAGAAATAGGTTGTGGTCTACTATGTCGAATGCCTTACTGAAATCCAAGGATACTATATACACAGCATTTTGCTAGTCCATTAATTTAGTCACTTTATCAAAGAATGAATTAAAAGCCACTTGACTTTAAATCAGCCAGAGTTTGCCCTCAATCCCTTAACATTTATGAGAACCAACCAACAGCATTACTCAGTTTGTATAAAGAAGTCAATAATAGACAGGTAGGATAATCAAACTGCAGGAACCATTCTTTCAACAATTTGACTAACACCATACAGTTGTCCAAAATTCTTATAATAAACACAACCTCTCTGGGAGGAAAATATTAGTTTTGTCATCCGACTGATTTTTTTTTCTTCATTTCCAAGTAGTTTCATAGATAACAAAACTGTTATTGAATTTGTTCTCCTTTTAATGTAGAACTTTGTGGAACTTTATGAGTTCTGCATTCTATATTAGTGTCTTCTTTTCCTTCCCCAAAAGCTGTACGCAAGTAAGGAATAAAACATAAGTCTCCATACTTAGATTTTGGTGTTTAAAAAATACAGAGATTATTTGATGACTCTACTAATTTGTGTTTTAATCTTCCTAAGCTCAGATGAAATTTTAATTACTCTGAATAATTAAAAGGAATTATGACTGCATATTTTGTTTGTTCAGAGTCAGAAGTTCAACTTAGTAAGAAATACCTGTTGTATGATATAGCTAAATGTAAAACAAACAATTGACACTCCATAATCAGTAGACAATAGTAATTCACAATTGTCTGAACTGATTCTTTGACATTTCGATTTTAAATGTGTCCAGAATCAATCTAACACCCATTTGCTAAATTGCAAATCAAACAACTCTCCTTTCTTCCTGAATTCACCCTTTTACTTCCTTTAAATTATTTTTCAACATCCATCTTTTTCAATCAATTACTTGACTCAGCTCCATATTCTTACCAAAAAGTCTAAACTGATTTAAAGAACTAAAGTAAATGCATATTCTTCCCTGTTACCTGTAACACCACCATTTTTTGTGTTAAATTTTAGACACTAAGAATCTTGGAACAGAGACAGTCTTTTTAACGATATTTATAGTTAAACATCATAAAATGCTACTAAACGAATGGCTGAAATGAGAAAAGCAGGTTTCTTTGCAGAACTTACTGTGATGAACACAAATTGCCATGGGTAAATTTTATATATATATAAATACATCCATCACACAAACACACAGAGTATATAAGGTTAAATGAACTGATATAATTTGTTCCATATATGAACAAATGAAACACACCCACCCACTAAGAATGTATACCCATTTTATACAGCAGTTGCCCAATAAAGATTTGTAGGAACAAAAGTTTTTAATGTCTTCTTTGAACGTGACCGTATTCCTTTTCATTTTTTCCCAATGGAGACTTAGAGGCAGCAGTTCATCATAGGCTTTAGGCAGAAGTCTATCACAACTCTGCTACCAGAAATCCATGACCAAGCATAGCATGGATTAGAAGCAACAGCTATCCACTTGTGTTTAATTTATTTTCTGCATAAGCAGAAAATAAATTAAATGATGCCTAAGGACTGCAGTGGATAATCATTGGATTGAACATTCAAGCAATGAAGCGTAATAATTTGAGGCAAGGCAACTGTATTTATAAAATGCAATATGGTTTGGGTTGGGTGTACATGTGTGTGCATTTTTAAACAATAAAAAACAATTTAGCCAGG